AAGACAGCGTTCATTCTGATGATAAGCATTTGTTAAAGAGGTCTGCAACAATGCCTGCTGTCATGGATGTTCCACAATCAACGCATCACAGAGAACGAACTCCGGAGTGCAGTACAGACGAACGAACAGTAGTGGAGGAAAAACCCATGATAAAGAAATGTTTGACTGACTGTGACCTCCCTCAAATTAAGCATTGTAGTATTGTAACACAGGGTAGTTGTGACACTTCTTCAAGTTCAGAGATGCATTTGAGTGAATCAGGGGCAAGTCTGGTGGTGCATGAAGAAAGTATTGACAATCAGATCAGTATATGTAGGACTGATAGCTACAATAGGGCTGTGGGGCACTTGGCAGAAAGGAGTGGAATTGAGATTCAACATAAAATGGACAAATCTGAAAGTGGGCAAAAAATGAACAAAGTTCACAAAATAGATGGAAAAGAAGTTGTGTTAAACATGCCAGTCTTGCCTCCTCTGGAACTCTCTGGATTTCCGAAGTTTGAAAACACTGATGAAGTTCCAATAACAGGTGCTTCCAAGCTTACCTGTGATAAAAGTGATAATGCCAGTAATAGGAATGATTTACTGGGAGGTGAAGCAAGCTTTCCTGTAAATTTGTCCGATAGTTATTATGACAATTCTGAACCCATGTCATATGGAATGGATAACACTGAAATGGAAAGTATGCATAACACTGATGTGACTCCATTTGGAGGGCATAGCAGTATGATGAATGAAATAGATATAAATGAGAGTTGTTTTGGAATCCCTACACACCAGAATCTGAGCAACGAAATGAGAGAGAGAATGCAAGACAGATTTAAAGCAATGAAGGGTCAGGATACCTGTTCTTCATTAAATGATGATGTACCATCTGGACACCATGAATTCCCAGATCATCTAGGAATTGACGAAAGATATGATCATCCACATGGGATGGAGGTTGAAGCTTCAGTGATTGCATCAGGGTATACCTCAATAACAAGGCCAGCAGAAGACATACAAATGTTATCACAAGGGCCATTGATAACTGCTGAGCCATTTGTTGTGGAGCAGATTGAACCTTACAGTCAAATGGTGAAACACATTGATAACTCTGAAGAAGAGGCTCAGAATGCAATCAATGCAGACAAAGAATTAAATATGACTCTTCAATCTTCATTAAACCAAAATGCCTGCTTCATTCCCTCTCGTGAAACAGAGACTGCCATGGAAACTGATGTCTGCGGTGGTGCCGAGGGACCACTTCCACAACTTCCGCCTCCTGAACAGGAATTTCTGGAGGTCCGTCGGCCATTTGTTATGAAATCCAAGAAAGAAACACTGTCAAGTGAAGGCAGCTCAGAGAGGGGAGAGAATGAAGTGATTGTGGAGCACAGAGCCAGCTTCAAGAAGAAGGCACCTGTTCCTTTGCCTAAACGAACAGAACGCAAGCAAGCACTGGAGTTGGTTGATGTTTCTGACTTGAATGATGATGTTTTCGTTGATGACATTAAATCCAATATTACTAGAAGTAAATTAGTAAGTAGAGTTCAACATAAATCTGTGGCAGAGAGAGGCGGAAACTTCTCTTCCTTAGAAGACCCTCCAAATCGTAGTTCTCTTGATGAATCTGTTCTACAGTTGGCATCCTCTCGACATGATAATTTTACAGCAGACGACACTGATCAAACAGAAGATGTCAGATTCACCAAAGCTCACAAGTCAGCAAAACTGCAAAGTCTGAAGGAACTGTTTGAAAAATCATGTCAAGAAAGTGAAAAACACAAAAAACCACATCCCTCTTCCCAAGAGAGTTTAGTTTGTTTGCCTAATCAGCAGAATCCTTGTGACTCATATAGGGTTGTGAATGCCAGAGCCTCATTTGGAAAGCAAAAATCCTTATCACAGATTGAACAGTCGTGTCATGAACAACATTTTGGTGCATGTAGTGCTGTGTCAGACAGTTTTAATGTTCCTGGGAATAGGAGAAGCATTTCTACTGATGTGGGATATGAATTCCAATTTTCAAAAAGCATGGGAATAAAAAGTGAAAAAATTGATAGATCTGTAGGAATTGGTAAACCACCTAAACATAGAAGTGTTTCAAGAACACGGACTGGAAGTGAATCTTCTATGTGTGAGTCAGACCAGAGAACAAGGTCCTCACCCAGATCTGTTGATGGATCTCCCAAATTTGCTAGGGAAGGATCTCTCAGTTCTAAGAGCTCACCAAAATCTCAGAGAGACTCCTCACCTTTCAGCCAAATTTCATCTGATGATTCACCTAGGGGAATCCGACGTTGTTCTGAAGAAAGTTCACCGAGAAGCATTCGACATCATCAGTCCTCAGGAGAAAATTCACCAGTAATCCTGAGGGTGAAATCTGATGGCTCTCCAAGAGGAACAAGGCACGTCTCTTTTCAAAGTCACAATCAATCTTTTACATCTACCCAAGACTCGTCTGGAAAAAATAAGGTTGTGGTGAGCTCAGAGAAAAGTGAAAGGATGACCAAATCTTGTTCCGTGTTAAACACAACTTCTCCTGGGGCATCCAGAGGGAATGCTTCTGAGGATATGATGAGCCGGTCTCTAACTCTGGAACATTCTCAATCCCTAGAAGAAACTGCCTCTCATCTCAAAAGAAGGGGGAGCATTAAAGAATTGATGCAATTTTTCGAAAGTAAGCGGGAAGGTAATGAGGAGGAACCCAGGAGTAATGTCAGACAGAGAGTTCACAGTGAGTCGCCAACATTAGGACTCGGTCGTTCCAATTCCCGATCCTCGGAATCACTCACTCTTGTCAACGTCCGTCACAGTCTGGAGTTGCCCTCAACAAGTGTCCTATCTACATTGGAAGGAATCAGCACACCACAGCCTGTCAGGATGGGTCCCAAACCATTTTACAGTGTCAAAAACAATTAAGAGAGTTACTAACGTTTAATCCACAATGCTTAGATGCTAATATTTAATGTAGTAGGGACCAGGCTGATTGAACAATTAAAGTTAAAGTTTCTAATTCAGTATTCAGCCTTTAAGAAACTATTTCATCAAACACGATCATTTTTATTTGTTTACTGTTTCAATACAAAACTTAGTGGCAATGTGCAATAACAATAAATTTTTATAGTGAAATGCTGTATTCCCATTCCCATGTAAAATTTCATTGCATTTTGATTAATGTACATGTATTGTGGGTAATTGATGCATTGTTTTATTCAGTATTTTTGCCATGCTATGACTAGTTTATATTTGCCAGTAGGCTACTCACTGCCCTATTGCTTTAAGCAGTAGATCAAACGTTTTAAAATCACTCCATCTTGGTCATCTATTGGAATTCAATTAATAATGCAGCTTTGTACCATGTAATGTCGAGGCAGTGCAAGCATCATTAGATCTGACAGTGTAACATGACAGCTAACTATTTGTCATGATTTACAATAATACAAGTATACATACAATATGGTTAGTAATGAAGATATATATATATCTAGTCAGTATTTATTTATTTTTGTTTATCTAATGTATTTTGTTAGAGACACGGTTGCATATTATATTGTGTCATTGTAAATCCCTGTATCTGTATATAATGGCAATGAATCCTCAATTCACCAGCAGTTTTTATTTTTAATTTTTGGTTGTATTTGTGTGGTTGTATAATTTGTTGTTAGTGTATGAAGTTTGAAAAATCATGTAGTGGCTAACTTAGGAGCAGTGAAATCTCTTCTTGTTCATGGCTTGTTTCAAGTATGAACAAATTACTGCTCATGTAAGTTGTTCATTATCATCGAATTATTAGGAATCTGTTCAAGTGTGCATTTGTTCATGTCTAGAATGGGAGAGCTTGCTGGTGTGATTTTTATTTGCAGAAACAGGGTGTTAATAATTATTTGCACTTTGGTGTATTGTTTAAGTACAAGTACTCTAATAAGTGCTTCAGGCAGGATCCCAATGTGGAGAAAGGGATTTATAGCATAATATTTATTTTCTCTTCCATACTTCATCTATAAAACCTCATTTACAGGCAATAAAATGGTGATTAATAAAACAGTACAAAGCAGAAGTTTATTTTATTTTACTACAGTGAGATTGGGCTCTTACAAAATTAGATTAGGGCAGTTTGTCTTTAGAGTAGCTAGAGTTATGTCTACTGACCCACACACGTCTTGTTACAGAAAGAAGAGTACATGTACATGTATTGATTATAGGGTCTAAAGATCTGATCACAGACAGTTACAGCAGTGAACTTAGTTATGACTGCAATTTAACAAGTACCATTTGACTGTAAAATGTCACAAGCATAATTCGTTATAACCATGAAGTTCATTACAATCGAGATATGTTTCAAGAGTACAAGGAATGAAAACCACTTTGCTATTTAAGCATTTATTCATTACAAGCATATATGCACTAGATGTGCTTTACTATTCGATTCCTGGTTTCCAAAATTTAAATAATTATGCACAAGTTAACAATAACTCAAAGTCCTGGCACGGCTAAACAGGAAGAATGCTTTCATGATGATGCGTGTCTGTGTCAAGTTGTAGAACTGGCTTCTTGGACAGCAAACTCTACAGAAATATGGTCAGTATCATAGGGAAATTCAAGGCCATATAAAGATCAAACATTTTTACGACCAGTATATCTATTTTGAAATTCTAAATAGTTGGGGAATAGTTTTTATCTCGATAAACCTCTCTGTATGATTTGCCTTTTTAAAAAAATCCCGTCAAAAAAGAAGAGGCCCATGGGCCCCATTGCTCACCAGATTAACTGGTGATGCCGTTCTTTACCAGATTTCCCCCTTGTAATACCTTTTGTAACCCCACCTTATCCCCCTTCCTGGTCATGATTTTAACAATTTAAAATCTACTTTACCCCAGGATGCTTCCACACACATTTTGTAATTTATAGGAAATAATGGATACAACCACAGCAGAAAAAATTTAAACCTGTGTATGAAAACAACTTATTCCATGTTAATGAACAAACACATTTCATTGATTACATAACACAATCTGGAAGGCTTGGGCATATTTATAAGTTTTATTTTGTTCATAATCAATATGAAATCATAAGTAACTTATAAAGATATTCTGTATAAAACAGAAAAACAAAACAAAAAGCCAGCAATAAAATACATGTATTAGAGAACATTTTGATTGAACATCTCTCAGGCTCTCATACTTGGGGTAACATATAACTTCATAACCAGCTATAATATTAATATAATATAATAATACTAGTTTTCATTGTTTCATTGCTTCTTGATTTTAAAGATGTTATATCAATAAGATATACATGTTTTGGGTATCCAAAGTACAAAGCCATATACTGCACAGAAAGAAGATATAAAAGTGTATGTAAAAAATTAAAAGATTTTTTTTTTCACAAAGTAAACAAAAGATGAACATCTATACATTCTATCAACCCTTAAATTTATTTATTTTAGCTTTTCTCTGATAATAAAGTTCTGTGTTAAACATGAGAATATTATACTGAAAATGCTTTGAGCTAATTATTATTCAAACACAGACAAAGTGATATGACACTACACTCTCTACTTGTTTTATTCCTATAGTAAAGTACCTCCATGCAAGAATCGAAACACCACCGGGTATATTGAAATACATGTAATATCAAACCAAAAGAGTGATTGACAGGATGGACAATATGATTCCTAGAGGAATCCTGCATTTCTGTGTACATGCCTTAATTATTTTCTTATTTTTTTTCCAACAAGATTGTTTTCTTTACATATTTGAAATTTCTTAATTTACAGTAATCAAATGTCTACAGTCAAAGCTATAAATTGTCAGTTTCTTCCTTTGTTAGCTCACTTATTGGAATCATTCCATCCACTTTGGATCAAACACAAGTGGAAAAAATTGTCCTTCCATTTTTCTACCCTGAAAAAATATTAAAGAAAAATCCTGAGTATGAGTTTGGTGAGTAGAGCACTCTTTACTGAATGAAAGAAAAGCAAAATATGATAGGCCTCCATACATCGGTAAACAAGAGGCCCAAGGGCCTTAATGGTCATCTGAGTATAATAAAACCCTATACAATATCTGTGACTAGTAAATAAATTATACATGTAATACAAAAATCAGCTGAAACTGAATTATACCCCTACATTGATTTATCACTAGTGAATAAAGGGGAACAACTTCTGATAAAGCAGAGTAAATATTTCCACACAATATCAATAGAGCCACCCCTAACTCTAGAACAAATGCTACTAATTTCACAATTTTGGATGAGGCACTCTGGCTTATCATGACCATGTATTTTATTTCTCTGCTGAATACTTAAAAAAAGAGAAGGTATTCAAAGAATTCATGCATTTTTACTATTTGATCAATAGAGCCCCCATCCTTAATCCAAAACCCTGATCTAGAGGCCATGAAATTCACAATTTTGGAAGAAGTACACTTGCTCATCAAACCCATGTACTCAGTGTATGTTCTAAATATCTAGGAGTGGAGAAAAAGATTTTTAAAAAACCTAATGCATTTTCACTCAATTACAAATAAAGCCCCACTCTAGCTCCAGAATCAAACCAATGGGGGCACTTTTTTATTGTAATGCAACAAGTTAGTCTGCTAAATATACTGGGGGAAGGAGGAACATTTTTATTAAAGGTTTTATCCATTTTCATTATGATCGAGTAAAACCAACCCTAAAACCAGAACCAATGATACGGGGGCCATGAATATCAAAATTTTGAGAGGACTTCTTGTTGCCTTTTACAACCAAGCCAACAGTTTGACTAATTAAAATTGTATTTGATATCCAGGAATAAAGGAAGGTTTTATAGATTGCATTAAATTGTTTCAGTCCCTACGTTCAGATATGATAAAATTCAATGATTTTGTTCCCCTTTGCCCATAGATGCTATAAAGCCAAAATTGGTTGACATTGGTTCTGCAATGCCAGAGAAGCTGAAAGTGTTCAAATGTTCATGCACTCTTGCATGAAGAAAAACCAGAAGTCTCTGTCGAGACTGTAGCTCTACTGGTTTGTACTTATCAAGAACCATTTCACTATTCTATGTATCTTAGTGTAGTCTACTTGTGTGCCAAGTTATATTGAAATCAGACCAAAACTGTAAAAGGAGTAGCGTTTTGAAGGAATTTCACAGAAAATTCTATTTTTAGTAACCATGGCAACACCGTTCATCGAAATTAAAAACCGATGCACTATTCTATGTATCTTAGTGTAGTCTACTTGTGTGCCAAGTTATATTGAAATCAGACCAAAACTGTAAAAGGAGTAGCGTTTTGAAGGAATTTCACAGAAAATTCTATTTTTAGTAACCATGGCAACACCGTTCATCGAAATTAAAAACCGATGCACTATTCTATGTATCTTAGTGTAGTCTACTTGTGTGCCAAGTTATATTGAAATCAGACCAAAACTGTAGGAGGAGTAGCGTTTTGAAGGAATTTCACAGAAAATTCTATTTTTAGTAACCATGGCAACACCGTTCATCGAAATTAAAAACTGATGTACTATTCTATGTATCTTAGTGTAGTCTACTGGTGTGTCAAGTTATATTGAAATCAGACCAAAACTGTAGGAAGAGTAGCGTTTTGAAGGAATTTCACAGAAAATTCTATTTTTAGTAACCATGGCAACACCGTTCATCGAAATTAAAAACCGATGCACTATTCTATGTATCTTAGTGTAGTCAACTTGTGTGCCAAGTTATATTGAAATCAGACCAAAACTGTAGGAGGAGTAGCGTTTTGAAGGAATTTCACAGAAAATATATTTTTAGTAACCATGGCAACACCGTTCATCGAAATTAAAAACCGATGCACTATTCTATGTATCTTAGTGTAGACTACTTGTGTGCCAAGTTATATTGAAATCAGACCAAAACTGTAGAAGGAGTAGCGTTTTGAAGGAATTTCACAGAAAATTCTATTTTTAGTAACCATGGCAACACCGTTCATCGAAATTAAAAACCGATGCACTATTCTATGTATCTTAGTGTAGTCTACTTGTGTGCCAAGTTATATTGAAATCAGACCAAAACTGTAGGAAGAGTAGCGTTTTGAAGGAATTTCACAGAAAATTCTATTTTAAGTAACCATGGCAACACCGTTCATCGAAATTAAAAACCAATGCACTATTCTATGTATCTTAGTGTAGTCTACTTGTGTGCCAAGTTATATAGAAATCAGACCAAAACTGTAGGAGGAGTAGCGTTTTGAAGGAATTTCACAGAAAATTCTATTTTTAGTAACAATGGCAATACCGTTCATCGAAATTAAAAACCGATGCACTATTCTATGTTTCTTAGTGTAGTCTACCTGTGTGCCAAGTTATATTGAAATCAGACCAAAACTGTAGAAGGAGTAGCGTTTTGAAGGAATTCACAGAAAATGCTATTTTTAGTAACCATGGCAACATCGTTCATCGAAATTAAAAACCGATGCACTATTCTATGTATCTTAGTGTAGTCTACTTGTGTGCCAAGTTATATTGAAATCAGACCAAAACTGTAGGAGGAGTAGCGTTTTGAAGGAATTTCACAGAAAATTCTATTTTTAGTAACCATGGCAACACCGTTCATCGAAATTAAAAACCGATGCACTATTCTATGTATCTTAGTGTAGTCTACTTGTGTGCCAAGTTATATTAAAATCAGACCAACACTGTAGGAGGAGTAGCGTTTTGAAGGAATTTCACAGAAAATTCTATTTTTAGTAACCATGGCAACACCGTTCATCGAAATTAAAAACCGATGCACTATTCTATGTATCTTAGTGTAGTCTACCTGTGTGCCAAGTTATATTGAAATCAGACCAAAACTGTAGAAGGAGTAGCGTTTTGAAGGAATTCACAGAAAATGCTATTTTTAGTAACCATGGCAACATCGTTCATCGAAATTAAAAACCGATGCACTATTCTATGTATCTTAGTGTAGTCTACTTGTGTGCCAAGTTATATTGAAATCAGACCAAAACTGTAGGAGGAGTAGCGTTTTGAAGGAATTTCACAGAAAATTCTATTTTTAGTAACCATGGCAACACCGTTCATCGAAATTAAAAACCGATGCACTATTCTATGTATCTTTGTGTTGTCTACTTGTGTGCCAAGTTATATTAAAATCAGACCAACACTGTAGGAGGAGTAGCGTTTTGAAGGAATTTCACAGAAAATTCTATTTTTAGTAACCATGGCAACACCGTTCATCGAAATTAAAAACCGATGCACTATTCTATGTATCTTAGTGTAGTCTACTTGTGTGCCAAGTTATATTGAAATCAGACCAAAACTGTAGGAAGAGTAGCGTTTTGAAGGAATTTCACAGAAAATTCTATTTTTAGTAACCATGGCAACACCGTTCATCGAAATTAAAAACCGATGCACTATTCTATGTATCTTAGTGTAGTCTACTTGTGTGCCAAGTTATATTAAAATCAGATCAAAACTGTAGAAGGAGTAGCGTTTTGAAGGAATTTCACAGAAAATTCTATTTTTAGTAACCATGGCAACACCGTTCATCGAAATTAAAAACCGATGCACTATTCTATGTATCTTAGTGTAGTCTACTTGTGTGCCAAGTTATATTGAAATCAGACGAAAAATGTAGAAGGAGTAGCGTTTTGAAGGAATTTCACAGAAAATTCTATTTTAAGTAACCATGGCAACACCGTTCATCGAAATTAAAAACCGATGCACTATTCTATGTATCTTAGTGTAGTCTACTTGTGTGCCAAGTTATATTGAAATCAGACCAAAACTGTAGGAGGAGTAGCGTTTTGAAAAATTGTTTACAGACAGACGGACAGACAGACAGACAGACAGACAGACGGACGGACGCCGGACGCATTACTATCGCATAAGCTCTTCTGGTCTCTGACCAGTAGAGCTAACAAAGATAGCAAAAGGGGGCCTGAAAACCTCAGGCATTGTCATAGCTGTCAAGAGAGATACACCATGGTACTCCTAGACAGCATTACATCAATATTCCGACTGACCTACCGTAGGAATTGTGATGCCTTTGAGAAGTTCATCGTCTGTGTTAGATATTGTGCCATCAGCAAAGTAGTTCAGGACACTGGCTCTTCTTGGACCATCTGACCTGTAAGGTTAAAGTCTTCTCTTTCCTCAACAATGTACAAATAGCTTTAACAAGATAATTATGAGACTTTGGTTAAAAATACATTGACAATTTTATATGAAATTTCAAAACATTTCCAACTTATTCTCACACATCTAGTACACAGTTGAAAACAAAGCACAATGACATGCAGTCCCCATCCCCTTTTTTTCATTCTGGGCTGCTGAACAATGTTCATAATCTAAATTAACTTGATATAATTAGGGATGTCAACGAATATTCGAATATTCGAATATTCATTCGATGAGTTGATATTCGAATATAAATTTGTGATTCGAATATTCGTTTTTAAGTATACAAGCATTAAAAAGGGAGAAAAACCTGGCAAATTTTATTAGAAATTGAATCAAATTTTTACAAAATAAAAAAAACACTCCTCTTGGATTACCTTAAAGGCGTGAAGGGTGTATCCATAAGAGTAATTTATTTATTTTATTTATTTGTTCACTTAATTAGTGGTATAAAAGTTACTAGTACTAACAATCAGCTTGTATTGTTGTAAGGACCAAGTTTTACAGTAAACACACGGACTTCTTGTTTATGTAAATATCATTAAAAATCATTATCAGGAAATTATAATTAGCAAAACGTCATTGCTTTTAATATTTCACCGTTAGCTAATTGTTCTGTTTGGTATAGATTTGTAGGAATTATCAGTGTAGACTTTAGTAAGAAGATCAATTAATCTAGAATATATTAAAGAATGTTTTTAATTTTCTAAAACCAACCATTTCATTTTAAATGTATACAATTCAATAATTTTATTAACTATATATAATTGTAGAGCATTTTTCGAACTCTACACGAGTTTTTATTCTAAAATAATGGCATAAAACCTATACTGCTTGACAGGAGAGTGAAGATATATATTTAATAATGCAGAATGTACTGATTTTATCGAATATTCGAATATATTCGAATACTCTTATCGAATATTCGAATATCAATTATTGACAATTTTGACATCCCTAGATATAATAGTTACCTAAAAGGCAGTTTTGGAAGGAAGGAGAGAATTTTAGATAGGGTTAAAATTTTATGAATCTGTTAGATCTTTAATGCGAGTGTCTTGGGCAAGGATATACTATGCACAAAAATATTGGAATAACTACACGATTTTGTAATGCAGATAGCTGGAAGTGCAAGATTAAACCCTTGTCAGGCCAACATTTTTCTCCAATTTTAATACTTAGCTCCCAATGAAAAAAAAAAATGGAGGGTTTAGAAAAGTCTCAGTGAGATCTTCAGGATGGAAAACTGCAAAAGAAAAGGGGGAAAGAGTGGACTAGGAATTGGCTATGTCGGCCCAAAGCTCAATGGAAGGGCACCCACATGGTTTGCCGGAGGTCCTTGGTTCAAGTCCCTGTCCGGCCAACATTTTCTTTGCCTGTTATTATAATTTAAGTGGAGTCCTACAAATACCTGTGGAACAAAGACTTTATCTAAATAAAAATCATATTCACCACCAAACAATGTGACAAAAGGCCTGGTTAACTACCTGTTACCATAGGAACCATGAACAGCCATCGCATGATGGAAACTGGCTTCTCCTTTCTTTAGCATGGATGGTATGGGCTGGAATTCTTTTTTTTCTTCCTCTGTTAACACAGTCTTCAAAGAAAAAAAGACTGAGAATCAAAAACACACTGTTTCCAGAGATGGATTTTCAATGCATGTAAAACAAAGTAAAACTACCAGTATAAAATGTGTACATGTACAAACCATAATGGATTCCATGTCTTTAAAATCGAAATCAGTGACTGGTAAAGGATTTCCATCTCTTGTCCATCTGCAGAGAACAAATACTAACAATAACATAACAGTTACGAGATGCACAGGACTAATACTAACTTTCAAATATTTAAGGGTTGTTTTCAATAAAAACATAATGGTAAGTTATGGAAATAGAACTCTTTTAAGAAAAAGTTGATGTCATGAAGCCTGTTTCTTAATTTGACAGTGAGAGGCATTTTAAAACATTGCTTCAGGAAAATGCACAGATGAGAAATAGACAGACAGAAAATTATGGGGAAAAAAGGATAGTAAATATTCCAAACTTTCAGACTTTCATGCAGGTTGTTATTCATGTAAAGTGTTGATCACATACTTTTTCCCTAAATAATGAAACCGAGCTAAAAAAAGATTGAACTACCTGTGTGAGCCTGGTATGTAGTACAATGTGCCATTTTCTTTGGTTTGATCTTCCAGGGCAATGTGTATCTAGGAATCAATACATTAAACAAATTAAAAGAAATCTCTGTACATGACAAAGTTTTTCAGAACAATAAAGGCAGTACTGTATTCACTGCAGAAAGTGTTTACTATTTCTCAATGAAAACTTACAGTAAGATGCTGCATTGGCTGTGTCCTAGTCCAATAGGAGTAATCCTGATGCCTGAAATTGAGATACAAGATGATTAGTTCAGATGACTAAAACATACGGATATAATTGTGTGTTGCAGTGATATGCGTGACAGTATAAAGCTTTAGTTTCATATAAAACAAGAGGCCCATGGGCCACATCGCTCACCTGAGAAGCTTTGACCATTTTGTTCTTTACCAGATTTCCTCCTTGTAATACATAATGCATCCCCACCCTACCCCACTGATCATAATTAAAACATTTTAAAATCTACACTACCCCAGGATCCTTCTACATAAGTTTCAGCTTTTCTGGCCCAGTGGTTCTTGAGAAGAAGATTTTCAAAGATTTTTCCTATATATTTCTATGTAAAACTTTGATTCCCCATTGTGGCCCCGCCCTTCCCCCGGGGGTCATGATTTGAACAATTTAGAATCTACACTACCTGAGGATAATTCCACATAAGTTTCAGCTTTTCTGGCCCAGTGGTTCTTGAGAAGAAGATTTTCAAAGATTTTCCTATATATTTCTATGTAAAACTTTGATTCCCCATTGTGGCCCCACCCTTCCCCTGGGGGTCATGATTTGAACAATTTAGAATCTACACTATACCAGGATGCTTCCATATAAGTTTCAGCTTTTCTGGCCCAGTGGTTCTTGAGAAGAAGATTTTCAAAGATTTTCCTATATATTTCTATGTAAAACTTTGATTCCCCATTGTGGCCCCAGCCTTACCCCGGGGGTCATGCTTTGAACAATTTAGAATTTACACTACCCCAGGATGCTTCAACATAAGTTTCAGCTTTTCTGGCCCAGTGGTTCTTGAGAAGAAGATTTTCAAAGATTTTCCCTATATATTTCTATGTAAAACTTTGATTCCCCATTGTGGCCCCACCCTTCCCCTGGGGGTCATGATTTGAACAATTTAGAATCTAAACTACCCCCACCGTCTCAAGCCACGGTCCGGAGTCCGCATATAGCTCTCTCCTACCCGTGGCTGCTTGATCACAAAAAGTGTCGTAATCATGAATATTTACGCCTCTCTATTGTGACGTCATATTCAGTCAGTGGCATGTTTTGTTTCCATCGCAATTGAAATCAACAACTGACGTCAACAGTACACAAGAAAAATTTCCTTTACTGTGATTGGATATGGAAAGGTCGCGATAAAGTTCATCTTCCGACTATGCTTTACTCGCATTGGTCAATATTTTAATGAGCTACGAAGAATTCTCTCCTCGTTCAACCACGGCCAGATTGGGAGAGGATCGTACATTTTGGCCGTGGTTTGCGACGATGAACTACCCCAGGATGCTTCAACATAAGTTTCAGCTTTTCTGGCCCAGTGGTTCTTGAGAAGAAGATTTTCAAAGATTTTTCCTATATATTTCTATGTAAAACTTTGATTCCCCAATGTGGCCCCACCCTTCCCCCGGGGGTCATGATTTGAACAATTTAGAATCTACACTACCTGAGGATGCTTCCACATAAGTTTCAGCTTTTCTGGCCAAGTGGTTCTTGAGAGGAAGATTTTTAAAGATTTTCCTATATATTTCTATGTAAAACTTTGATTCCCCATTGTGGCCCCGCCCTTCCCCTGGGGGTCATTATTTGAACAATTTAGAATCTACAGTACCCCAGGATGCTTCCACATAAGTTTCAGCTTTTCTAGCCCAGTGGTTCTTGAGAAGAAGATTTTCAAAGATTTTTCCTATATATTTCTATGTAGAACTTTGATTCCCCATTGTGGCCCCGTCCTTCCACCGGGGGTCATTATTTGAACAATTTAGAATCTAAACTACCCAAGGATGCTTCCACATAAGTTTCAGCTTTTCTGGCCCAGTGGTTCTTGAGAAGAAGATTTTCAAAGATTTTTCCTATATATTTCTATGTAAAACTTTGATTCCCCATTGTGGCCCCGCCCTTCCCCTGGGGGTCATGATTTGAATAATTTAAAATCTACACTATACCAGGATGCTTCCACATAAGTTTCAGCTTTTCTGGCCCAGTGGTTCTTGAGAAGAAGATTTTTTTAATGACCCCACCCTATTTTTGTCTTTTCTTGATTATCTCCCCTTGTGAGGGGACTTGGCCCTTTATTTTAACAATTTAAATTCCCCTTCACCCAAGGATGCTTTGTACCAAGTTTGGTCAAAATTGGCCCAGTGGTTCTTGAGAAGAAGTCGAAAATGTGAAAAGTTTACAGACGGACAGACAGACGGACGGACAGACAGACAGCTAGACAGACGACGGACAAAATGTGATCAGAAAAGCTCACTTGAGCCTTCGGCTCAGGTGAGCTAAAAACACAACTGTACTAAAGATAAAGTTGTGTACAGCACTTTCAGATTTTTCACTTGAACAATACATGGGAAAACACATGTAGCTAAAGGCTTCTGTAAGGAAGGAAGCAAATGGAAAATATACAAGTAAGTATCCCAACCTTTTTTCCTAACAGATCCACTGAGTACAACAATATCTAAAAGGATACTGTACCAACTTTTATTATGTGTGAGAAATATTTTTTAAATGAAGTTTCAACGACTTACTTGAACTTGTGAATATTAATTGCCACGAACCACTTATTTTCATTTTCTTAATTACTTTGATGTACTTAGTCAAAGTGGGATATTTATATAAATATATCCAATTTTAGTGGAAAAATAATTTTAAAAATAGCAAATTCTTCTTTGGAGCACAAAACGAGGAAAAAAGTTGTTAGCAACAATGCAATTTCTGCGACAGCACCATTTTAAGCTACACTTGGTTGCTAGTTGGGGGATTGCTAGCTGGCTTACCATGCCACACAGCCACCATGTTGAGCAGGCTTGGCAAACAACTGATCATGCCAAAACCTCACAGGTAGTGTTTTGTCCTTCACAAGTAATTGTGAAGTAGGAACCTGGTTATACAAAACATTAATTATCATATCTCTTAACAGAGATCTATCTACAAACCATATTTATGTGATGTTTTTTCTGGTATGTAAAAAGTATATATTAGCTATTTATGTAAATTTAAAATGGATGTTAAGGTTCTTTGCCCCTCTGATAAGAGAGATAACTCTAGGATTATTTATAGAAGAGCTTTTATGCCAAATTTTGCCACATGTGCTAAATTTTTTCCATTTCAAATGAATAAGACTCTTTTTAGAAAACCATAAGCATTATTTTATATGAATTAAGAAAAAATAATAATACAATTGAAACATAAAAAGGTGAAAATTTTATCTGGACAATAATGTTAGATTTATAGTAACTAGAATTCTGGTTTTGCAAAAACATGTTTTATAATGAAATACATGTACAAACCACAGCTTGAGGGAGGAAGGCAAGGTCATGGAACAGCTTGGTCAGTCTCCAGTGTCCTAACGCATGAATCAGGACATTATTGGGGTCACCACTCTGGTTACTATGGTATTCATACATCATGTCCATGCCAGGATGTGTTGTTTCACCCTACAAGAATAAAGGCCCATTTATATCATGTCAAAGGGCATGAAAAAATAATCCATATTACCTTTCTTTTATGCAGATATTCATTAAACTAGTAATTCCCCTTTCAGACTATATGCACAAAAACTGTAAAACATAAATTAGATCCAGAAGTTTGATTGATCTCTGCGGTTTATGTATATGATTTACCAGTAGCAAACTTATACATTGTATAATGATGATAGACTCACGGTGAAGATCTTGTAGTCCTCTAGTATCCTGTCACACTGCTCTGGAGACAGCAGGGGGACATTAAGTAGAAATCCATCTCTCCAGAACTGGTCTACCTTGTCCCCTGGTAGCAGGTGCTTTTTCCATCCCTCTGGATTCTGAAGCAAAGAAATGTGTAAGTTTCATGTCACTTTTTGTTTATTTTAAAAAAATACCTATGCATGGCATATTGTTCAGTGACAACAGTCAATTTAATCAGTCTTCGTCAAATTTTTTTTTTCAGCACATGCCCTTCGGGCAGGTGTTATCACCAATTACGCTAGCCCGAACAAATATTTACATGCCCAGAATTTAATCAAGTTATATTATTCTTATTTGCCTTTTCATGCCAAGGAAATGATCTGAAATCCATTCTGTCAATTCATTGTCTCGACATTTGTTTTCAACCTGTACACTTTTTGTGTCTCCTTTGCAGAAGAGTTCCTTGGAAATCGCGGTAAAATAAACTGTCAGTAAAATTTTATTTTAAACTTCACTTTAAATGGAAAATCAAAGACTTAAAAGTACATTTAATGTTATTGGTCTTATTTCATTTGATTATACCAAGGCTTATGCCTTAGAATTTACATGCCCTTCGGGCTTGTAAGTGTGCAACTTCCACAAGCCCGCTTCCAATTTTACCAGGTCCCGGGCATTGGACTCCCGGGATTTGTCGAAGACTGTTTAATGCTTTATTTATTTTTATTTAACCCATCCCTACCCCAAGTATAAATAATACTGCACATTCCTTGTGGAAAATAATCTGTATTATCAAACGAACACTTACTGTAATAGGTTCAAACAATTCTCCAAGAGGTTCATGTACTGTACTGTAATATGAACACTTACTGTAATAGGCTCAAACAATTCTCCAAGAGGTTCATGTACCGTATTGTAATATGAACACTTGTTTGACTGTAATAGGTTCAAACAATTCTCCAAGAGGTTCATGTACGTACTGTAAGTGTATATGAACACTTACTGTAATAGGCTCAAACAATTCTCCCTGAGGTTTATGTACTGTACCGTAAGTATATATGAACACTTACTGTAATAGGTTCAAACAATTCTCCCAGAGGTTCATGTACAGTACTGTAATCTGGAACCCCAGGTCTGATCTCAACTGGTGCAGGAGGTGACATGGCTCTGAATCACAACCTGTAAAAAAAAGTTATTGATGTCACCTGTTTACTTATAGGTAATAGTTATTATTAAGACAATGAAGTGGTCAATGAGCCACATTGCTCATCCACGCACTCTGCCAAGAGAAAAGCAAGAATTGTTTATCATGTTCATTGTTAAAATATATGTATGATGTAGTTTCAATCTACACTTGTTTTATTATCTTATAATAGATATGTGGAAGTATCCTTAAATAATGAAGATTTTAAATTGTTCAAATCATTAATTACCCCTCCTGCTAGCATGGCCAAAGTCTCATAATCAAAGTTTTGCATAGAGAAACATTTAATTTTTTACATTAAAAAAAATCTGCTCCAGATAGGCAAACACTCGAAAGAGAGACAAGATCATATTATAATTTAGATTTTGGTCTAGCAAAATAAATAAATAAATTGTCAGGGTTAGGCCAAAATAAATAAGGGTTGCCCGCAACCCTGTGTCTCGCCTGCTGTCGCTGTGGTTAGTAAGAAATGATTGTCTGATAAACTGAAGCATTTATCAGGGTGAAATTTCTCTTGTGAAATATTTGCTTGAAATGTTAATTATTTATTATGAGAATATTAAGAACATCTTGCCACCAGGTATTAAATCATTTAAAATGAAAACACTGATGTTTACCTACTGTGTAACAAAAATATCTGTAAAAGAATGGAAACAATCCTGAAATACAATAATAAAGAAATGGAACAGCTGACTTAATATCTAATCCCTTGGCGATTATATTGGCATTTATATATATATACATATACCCTGTAAATTCACAAATTATTGTGATGTTTTTATTATTGCGAATATTGCAACGTGTTATGAGTCGCAATAATTTGAACTTGCATTTTGAAATCAAATCCACTGTATATGTATCAAGTCATTCATGCAGAAAATGTAGGTGAAGATTACCTAATTATGGTACTGATATTGTTGGTTACCCATGATGTGTAGACTGACAAATTATCATGCCACTATAAGTTATAGTTGCTGAGATATGGACCTCCACCATAAATTTATGCAAAGTCACTCATGCGGAAAAATGTAGGTCAAGATGACCTAATTCTGGTACAGGCGTTTGTGGTTACCCATGATGTATCCACTGACAAATTATCATGCCACTATAAGTTATAGTTGCTGAGATATGGACCTCCACCATAAATTTATGGAAAGTCACTCATGCGGAAAAATGTAGGTCAAGATGACCTAATTCTGGTACAGGCGTTTGTGGTTACCCATGATGTATCCACTGACTAACTATCATGCCACTATAAGTTATAGTTGCTGAAATATGAACCTCCATTATCAATTTAACCAAAGTCATTCATGCAGAAAAATGTAGGTCAAAATGACCTAATTCTGGTACTGATGTTGTTGGTTACTTATAACCTGTACAATGACAAATCATCATGCCATTATAAGTTATAGATGCTGAGATATGGACCTCCACCAAAAATTTAACCAAAGTCACTCATGCAGAAAAATGTAGGTCAAGATGACCTAATTCTGGTACTGACGTTTGTGGTTACCCATGATGTATCCACTGACTAATTATCATATCCCTATAACTTATAGTTGCTGGAATATAGGTCTTCACCATAAATTATCATGAAAAAACTAAGTCCAACTTAAGGAAAAAATACGGAAAAATTTGAATTTTTTTTTTCAAAATCATACTTGGGATATAAATTTTTATCCATACTGAATATTGTGTCCAAATTTCAAGAAGACTGAATAAAATTTGAGAAAGTTATTGCAGTTTATAAAACTTTGACATTTGGGTTAACCAAAAGTTGGACGCCGACGACGACGACGACGACGACGGAATCTATGGTCGCTATGTCTCGCTTCGCGACATTCGTCGCAGGCGAGACAAAAATAGTCTTGTTTCCTGCTACCCGACCTACCCTATTATTTTGCACCCAACCCTAAAGTTTTTTTTAGCTTTTGGGGAAAAAATTCAAATTTTTAGAAATTTCATGCTTTAAAAGTGAAAAAATATATATATTCTCAGTTGTGTTTCATGAAAATTATATGTTTAAAATATGGACTTTCGTAAAATTCCACTTGAGTTGTGCATCCAAAGACATGGAATTTCATTTGGAAAGATGATATTGACCTTAGCTATCTAAGCTATGACATGTTCAATTTGGTTCATATCCAAAAAAATACCGTTGGAAAAAATAAAATAAAATTAAAAAATAAAATAATTTTCCTACCTACCTACCCTATTTTTTTCTGGCTGGTAGCAGGAAACGAGACTATTATTTTTTTTTTTGGCCTTAGTAATATAGCATGTATAGGTCCTTGAAATCACACAGTGTAAAATTGATTTACGTGTCACTAACCAAACATGCATTGTTGCATTTCAATTAAAAAATCTTTAGCTAAATTATAAAAAGAAACATGCAATTAACGCCTATTTTAATAAAATTATAAAAACACCTTTGAGGGCTAGTACTTTACCCTCTTGAGGCAACTCGCTAGGTGCGATTGTTTACAATAGAGTTATCCCGCTTTGATTTAATCGCTGTTCAGATTACCGCCCTCGGCATTTATATCACTTTTTCCCATGTAATTGCAGCGAGAAATCTGTTTTTCAGATTGTGACTTATGTTAGTGCTATTTTACACAAGAAAGAGTAAATTTTCAGAAAAATTCTACGACGAAAAACGTTATTTTGTTTGGAAATAATTTGAAAATTTTCAGAGGGAGTGAAATATAATCACTCGGAATTCTTCTTTGAAGTTCCAATAAACGCGCCCGAAACTTACCGAAGATCAAGCTTGTCGAAGAAAAATTAAAATGGTGGTAGATGGTTTGTTAGACAATGATGGGATATTCCACCGTGTGTAAAGCCGTATGCGAAGAGAATCTTTCCAAATTTTGTAGATAACGTGATTAGAAACTAAAGGTAAGGGAAAATATTTTCAAAAATTTGAATACTCCTTCAAACAAGTGATTGCTTTGTGATGAATTTAAATGATTTGAACAATCGTGATCCATGTCAATTTTCTCATTAAGTCTGTGATGAGTTCTTTTCGAATTTGTTTACCGAAGCATTGTTGATTTCTTTTAAATGCGTTACATAGGGATGTCTTTTGTACAATGAAACATTTTTTTTTCAAATTTTGTAAACAAAGAAGCTTGTAACTTATAAAGTTGAGACCACTATTGATTTATGATCTTCTTTTAATTTTTATGTATTCCAAAAGATATATTATACGTAACTCTTTCAATGAGCAGTTGAATAATATGCATATTAATGGGGGTTAAGTTTGAATGAAAAATATATTAAGAAGTATTGATATTAACAATACAAAGCATTATTGACTGTAGATTCCAAAACAAACACTATGATTTTATTAATGATTAATCATAAAAGAACTATATGCGGTATTAACCAACATTTGCCCCCCAAAATCAAACTTTGATGGAGTAATATTTAATTAAGTCCTTAAACAGGGGAGTATATGCTGACTTCAAAGCACTGAATAATTTCATAAGTAATGACGTCATATGTACGTAATGACGTCACAAATATGACGTAAATTTCAGTTTTTTATGAATTTTGCAGAAAAATGTACATATTTCGTCGATATTTTAAATAAAAGTCACCGAGCGCATGTGTGTTCAGGATTAATATTTTGATATAATGTGTAGAATGATAATATCAATGAAATATGTCAATATTGTTCCTGAACACACATGCGCTCTATAAATTCTAAAGCTTAAATTGTTGAAATTTTGTCCATTTTGTCCTCTTTCTGAAAAAGGATATAAAATCGGACTAGTTTGTGACGTCATAAAAACAGAAATTGTGAATACACTGCTCTGGAACTATAATATTTTCTGTTAACTTATATTTCTCGTACAATTTATTGAATTCAGCACATTTCAGGAAGTTTTCAAAATTTGACTTTTGTGGGGGCAAACATATGCAATATACCGCATATAGTTCTTTGACAAGAACAACTTGCCAAATAAAATTTTCAGTTTATGTCTGTTGTTAGACAACAGTTATGAGTATACAGGTATACGCGCTGAAACTCTTGTTCATGCATACTACACATTATTGTAATTTTAGCATGTTTAGGTCTACAACTCATTTTGCAGTATGAAGTACTAACATAAAATAAGAAATCTATATTATTTTATATAGTTACATGACTAGCAAAATGCCAGCTCATTTTAAAGCATATAGTTATTTTAAAGCATATGTTATCCCCCCCCCCCCCCCCCTTGAAGAAGGGAAGGTATTTTGCTTTTTAGATAAAACGTACATTCTATTTTTAAAATGATATTGTCTTAAAAATTCGGTTGAATGATAGAATTTGCTTGTGTATTTGCAATGTAACAAAATAACCACGGATGATAACTCAATTGACAAACTTAGTGCATTTATCATACGATCCATCCAGAGATGTAAACATGGCAGGTGAATTTGTAGTGAGAAAAAAATGTTAAGAAAATTAGTTGAATTTTCATCTTTGTATGGATTTTTTGAGATAAAAGGCATATAAAATCTCAAAGAGGTTTGTTTAATTTGTTAGTTATTTTTTAGCTCAAATCCTGTATTCTTTAAAATTATTTTGGAGCTGATCCACTCTGATTTGCTGCAATATATTGCAAGTATATGGGACATATTCTTGTCCTTAGACACCTTTAGATTATTCTATTTGCTTTGCTGCTGTCAGTAGGTTAGTAAGTCAAGTTTTGTTTTGGGTACAGTCAAGCAATTTTTGACAGTAATGCTCCTTAGACTTGAGAATATTTCAATTTTTGCAGTTTCTGTCCATTTTCTTCCATGTAATGATGTATTCCAGGGGGAGGGGAATTAAGTGTTTCACAAACTTCTCTGATTAACTCTTACTAGTTGCTAGAGACTAATTTCTGATTTATTCCTAAAGAATAGTTCACAGGCCTGACAGGGTCTTGATTTTACCATAATAATATTTCAATGTATTCTTCATTTCAAATATAAGTTGTATAAACATTATGATATGTCCATAGAAATTAGTATACAATATGTATACTAATAGAGAGACTAGCATATATATCAAGCATGATGATATGTGCAAAATTAAAATGAACTTTTTGTGACTGTAATCATAGTAATGATGGATAATTCTTTTCGATACTAATACACAGTTTATGCCTTTTTTTTTTACTGGTTCCATGCATTAAGCCATTTGATATTTTTTTCATTTTAAACATATGAATATACATTTGAATTGCGATACATGACTTTGCTATTTTTAAAGCCCACTAAATTAGTCTAATGGATGTAAGATGAGCAGTTACAATGTGCTAATGGTTTTGTTCTATTCAGAAACAAGGCAATTTATCAGTGGGATTTTTAATGGATTTATGTATATTATATTTCTCATTAATTATACAATTTTAATTCAGCGTTAATTAAGAGCTGAGGTATATACCAAAACATCTTTACATTAAGATCAACATTAGTGTCATTTTACCAATTTTTAGACAATATAGCTCTTATAACATATATTAATGATTGTCTTTGACATGTTTGAAGGGATGTTGATAGACTAATATATGAAGCTTGCCAATACATGCAAAACTCCATAGTCTTATGTTTCAGTGTTTAAGTCCAAATTCCAGTAAAGTTTGGATTTTGCCTTTCTGTGTGGAGATTTCTTGAGATCCCATTAATCCCCTTCACACCTGTAAAATTATGGCATTATAGGAAGGTAACACAATCTAACAATGAGGATTGGACTAATCTGATGATTTTTGTTATGAGATTACTGACTTTCAGTGGCAAATTAATTGTCCCAAGTGTACTTCAAACAGCCATTGATAAGATTGACTGACATTTTGATGTAGCCGTCATACACACCACAGCACAAATGTGTTTAAGTTTAGTAGAGTACAAAAAGTCAGCATGTTCTTTAGATGTTAAAAAAGCTATTAAGGTATCAGGCCTGCTGCGAAGAAACAAGGGTAAATGTGATTTTGCTCTGCATTCATTGCAAATATGATGAAGAAAAATTTGAACAGCTTTAAAAGATTTATGATCAGTAAAGTTTTTTTAGAAAGTTCTGGGGGTAAAATAGTGCTCCAAGGAGAAAAATGTTAATATACACATCTATATATTGTATACATAATTCATATAAATAATTACTTGCTTGTTGATCATTTTTGATGATGAAAACATAATGTTTTTGTAAATGATTTATTAAATATGGCATACTGAATTAAGAATTAGCTATTTTGTTTTCTTTTTTTTTCTTCTGATAAACATGAACTATAAAGATACTTTCATAATTCATATAAATAATTACTTGCTTGTTGATCATTTTTGATGATGAAAACGTAATGTTTTTGTAAATGATTTATTAAATATGGCATACTGAATTAAGAATTAGCTATTTTGTTTTCTTTTCTTCTGTAAACATAAACTATAAAGATACTTTCCATTTTTCAGGAACTTGAGAAATAATGGATGGTGCCGAGTCAGTTCGTTCAGGGAGAAGTGATAGGTCAGAAAGGTCAAGGCGTAGTCATGGCAGCCACCACCACCGTCATCACCACGGCAGCCGCAGTCGTGGTCCCAGCTCAGACCACGGTGGTCACCATCGTCCAGGGGAGCGCAGCATGGACGAGCGCTCCGTAACAATCAAAACTCCGGGCAATATGTCAGACACCGAGGACAGGATGATGGGGGAAGAGAGAATTGAGGTTCAGGTCATTCCTCAAGATGATAACTGGGGGGACAACACAACGGCTATTACAGGTACTTAAGCATGATAAGGAATTATTTCAGCAAAAGTTGAATTTATACTTTATAGTTCAGCAGGTCTTGAAGGTGACCATGTGGAATTAAAATACAGGCAATTCAGTAATTATTTTGTAGTTTATTAATAAATCTCTTTTGCAGAGAATTTGACTTTGATGAAATTAATTATGAAGTCCACCAATAACACTGAAGAAGTATATAGTTATGGAGAATTGTTTTCTTTGAAACTTGCATCTTCTTGATTTTGTTTGTAGGTAATACAAGTGAGACAGGGTTTTCTATGGAGGACATGAGAGGGAAGTTTGGCAAGGAGAGTTTTGAGGAGACCATTGGGATTGGATGTGCTCGATATGTGGGCACCACTCTGGCCAGTATCTTGTCTGTGATAGCCTTTCTCTCACCTATAGCCATGGTGATTTTACCTAAACTTGGAATAAATGGCTGGGATGCTGGTCCGTGTAAACCAGACTGTGAAGGACTTCTCATTAGCTTTGCCTTCAAACTTTTAATTTTAGCTATGGGAACATTTGCCTTGTTTTTCAGGCAACCTAAAGCGACCATGCCTCGAGTGTTTCTATTCCGAGCCGTAGTACTATTCCTGGTTTTTGTACTGACTTTTGCCTTTTGGCTTTTTTATGGTGTAAGAATCATTAAAGAACAAACTTCGCCAAAGACTTCCCAGACCCCTATAGATCCCTCGGACCTTGCGAAGGTGCTGGGGATAGAGTACAAGGAGATAGTCCAGTTTTCTGTGTCTTTTGTTGATGCTCTCTTATTCATCCATTACATTGCCGTCATTCTGCTGGAGATTCGTCAGTTGCAGCCCATGTTTGTCATTAAGGTGGTTCGCTCCCCCGATGGGGAGTCAAAGTGTTATAATATTGGTGCACTAAGTATTCAGAGGGCGGCGTCCTTTATACTGGAGCAGTACTATAGGGACTTCCCGGTCTATAACCCGTACTTAGAAAATGCTTACAAGAAGCCAATGAAAATGTCAGGAATTAAATTCTATGATATCGATGGAAATAATTCCCAGAATGTGCAGAGTCGGTCCAGAGCCATATTTGCTGCTGCAGCTCGCAGGAGAGATGCAAGTCACAATGACAGGTGTGTTATAACTATAGGATTTGATTTTAAAAATTCTAGATCAACATGATCAATATCACATTTTTAGTTATACTAATTAAATATGAAACTCAAATGCAAATTGTGTTAAATGCAACTTGTATGATAAATTTTTGCAAAGTTCTGAAATATTTGGTTCCCACTTTAATTTAATAGATAATTTGCTGCCACTTGCCCACTTACTACTTGTAATTAAATATGACTGTAAACATAGGAATTTCTATGTACAATCTACAGCACTTAATGTAACGATATTGATCCTGTAGATTTCATGAAGAAGAAGAGTATAACAGGCGCGTAAGGAAGAGAAGAGCTCGTCTGATCGTAGCTGCAGAGGAGGCGTTTACCCACATAAAGAGAATGCAGGAGGAAGCAGGTATTAACACTAAACCCTGTTGTTAAAGCAGACAATGTTGTTGCAATATTTTGAAATTCAACACAATTACTAACAGACTGGTAGATGTGAAATAGACACATTCAGCTGTACTGAAAAGCGTTTTTGTTTGTTACACTAACTACCAGTGGAGAAAGGAAAATTAAGTGATTGCTATTTATTTTGGCAAAAATAATTTCATGCAGGTAAAGCCAATGTAATCAAATTCTTGGCTACCTAAATGTTTTATTTATTTCTCTACACGAAAGACATGAATAATTTTATAGATACCCCAGTTACAAACATTTAATGAATGCATATACACATAAATTCTAAGCATTGCTGTTTTTTTTTCATTTGTTTAAATGTACACCTGAGTTTTCACAATGCTTTATGGAATGCAATTATTTCAACCCATCTACATTAGTTTTGTGATTACCGTATGACTATTAGGTTTTAAAAGAACAGATAACAAATTCATGATTAGAATGTGGATTGTGGGAAATATTCATTTATTAACTTGTCCATGTGGATTTTGCACAGAATACAATTGAAGACATTACAAAAGTTTGTTAGTGAAAATATAGAACAATTTTACACAATTTTGATTCTAAAGTAATATTTTGAGATATAAACTAAATGGTGGTCATGTTTCCTGATGTGCGTTCCAAGTGTAGATTAGTTTTAAGTGTGAAAGTTACAATATGTAGGGCATTTAGCATAAGGACAGGATGTGGTATGGTCAGATACTAAGGAATTACGAAAAGATTTTGAGATTTAGTGCTGAGTCATGAACAGTGTAAAACAGGTTGGTGTACCTTGTACTCCTAATAATCTCTGTCCAGTTAAGTGACCATTATTGTCCAGCAGGAAAGGAGGGTACTTGGTAAAGAGAAGTAGCTAAAACAGGCCTAGAATGTTAACAAGTCATCCTTATCACTTATAAGCCACGGAGGATAGCTTAAGCTTAATCATGTTAATAGTACCAGTATTCAATAAAATATAAGAACAAGAAAATCCTGATTTTAGTTTTGCATCCTCGTTATCAAATTAAGAGCAGTAAAATTTTATGGTTCTTTTTTAAACACATATGCAGCAATAAAACAAAAAGTGTAGCATTATGGCTGCAGTAGTAATGAGAGAAAACAGACAAGAGAAGCATTATCTGTTCACAGCATGTATTTGTGCTGCACTAGAATAAAAAATTAAAATCTTTGCTGTAGACCTGCTAAATTGAGCCAGAAAGGGGGGAAAGTGGGGCCCGTGTCATTAGCATCCAATATTGTATCTGTTGCTGTGGTATTTTAGAAAAAAAAAATGTCATGCAATCTACATGATCTAGGCATCATTCCTTAAAGACTCCTTGACAACAAGATTCTGTGATAGGACTTTAGACTGGAAACTGAATTCCCAATAGTTTTGTTGGACTTACGGGAGAAAAAAAATATGTTCATGAGTCATTTTATTGATAGACTGATCAGACTAACGGTGTTTTGTCAGCTTCAGAAGAAGGGATTTTACTTTATGTAAAAGATTTCTAGGAGATGCTTATTGGCCTTTAATGGCTTTATTGGTTAAGTCTAATTTGAAACACAAGTTTTGTATTACATGTAATTTATGAAATGGTTTTTGATAGACAATAATTGAGAAAAATATAAAGTTTTGCAACACAGATTACTTGTTTGGAAAAATCATCTTAGATATATTAGTCACTATAGAGAGAAAAGTCAGAAATCTTTAATTATGAACTTTGTATGAACTATTTTCTGTTTTGATGAAAGTTGAACTTTAGAAAGAATCAGAACAAAGCTTGGAAAGTGTTTAATATCCTCTGATATAATTAGTTTTCCCCCTCCCCTCTGTTTGATTCTGGTCCTGATGCCTGACAGTTTGAGAAATAAGTTGTCTCCCACAAAGGTTCAACTTCATTAACTGCATCGTCTTTATACTCACACATCTAAAGCAGTAGAGCTTTATGAAGTTAGATGTAAAACACAAGACATGAGGGTGAGTGTTTAATTAGATTCTTCTGACATTCAAAGGAGACCTGGTACAGGTATAATGCCAGCGCTGCCGGGATTTTCTGGGAATACCTGGGGCTCGGCAATGCTCCTCTCTGCATGGACTCACTTTGTCTGTTAAATTAATGTTTGATGGTGAAGAATAGCAGGATAATGTGGATAGACTGAAAACACTCCTCTTCCCAAGAATATAAGAAAATCAAGGGCACACAGAGAAAAGCAGGGGGTTTATTAAGGATGTTTTTACATGTTAGGACATTCTTGATTATGAGAACACCTTCATTGCAGAATAAGTTGTTTCTTGTTTGTAGGTAAATTCCAAAGGATTTAATGTTTAAAATATAGGAGACAGCACAAGTTAAAATTTAAAATAACCCCTAAAGTTAAATGGTAGGATTGCTTAATGGCCACTTAAAAGTTTATCTTCTTTTCCTCTGTTTAATATTGATCGTGTTGATATAAAGAAATTCCATCCAGCACTTGCTTTTATTTAGACAGACTTTTAAAGTACAAATAGAGCGGAATTAAATTTCAGTCTGAATGCAATACAATATGTGTAAAGTGTAGGTCACAAGTTAGAAGAGTGTTGGTAATATAAATAATCTCTCAATCTAACTTGTGACTGATATTGACAAGTGTGGCATTCTTATTATCTGTATTAAGTGTACTTTTTTTGTAAACAGTAAATACTATACAACTAACAGTTTTGAATTACATTATATTTTTTGGATAAATTTAGACAGTTTATACACAATATTGTTGGTATTGATTCTCCTTGACTTGAAAAAAGTCCCAAAACTAAAGTGAATCTCCAATGGTTATTAATTTTTTGTATTGTGGATATCTTTATACAGAATATAGATGAAACTGTTATTTCAGTTTCTTGAACAATGATATCATAAATATGTCAGTGGATTGTTTCAACCACATTTCCCTTAAAAAAAACCCTTGCAATGTCTCAAATATATTTTTTACCCCATTTACTCCAACATAACAAAGTCTGACTGTGTGTAAATATTCAGCTCATAACATGTCCTTTACATCCTCATACATAGTTTAACTTGTTCTGATATTGTTACAGGGGGAGCAGCCATTCCTATGGATCCTAACGAGGCAGCCCAAGCGGTGTTTCCTTCCATGGCCCGGGCTCTCCAGAAGTATCTCCGTGTCACTCGCCAGCAGCCCAGGTACACCATGGAGTCCGTGCTGAACCACCTAGCCAGCTGTATCAGTCATGACATGACACCCAAGTCCTTCGTGGAGCGTTATCTAAATCAGGGGGTGGTCATCATGAATGAAAAAGAGTACAAAGAAGTAGAGAAGTGGATTCTCATCTCAGATCAGCTGCTGACGCGAGAACTTGAGCACAATTCTGTGTTTCAGCTGCGTCAGAATGACATTTCATTATTGTGTACAGCTAAAAGACTGCCCCATTTTAATCTTACCGAAGAAGTCATAAATCCAAAGACCAACAAGTTTGTGTTGCGACTGAACTCAGAAACCTCTGTATAACCATGAGGAGGCATATTCTTTTGAGTGTCGTTGTATCATACCTTTCACTTTTGTTCCATGCTGTTTCGTGTATCCCTGTGAAAACGGTGGTGTGCAAAACTTGCTCTGTGAATAATTTTGTTCTATAGAGAAGGAATGATTGCTTGAAAGAGAAACGGGGGCCAAATGATCATTAATGAATGTTCTGTGTACTTAAGAGTGAAAACAGATGCAAATGTGGCTAGACAAATCATTTCTATGGTTCATTTTACATATACATGCTGTAAATGGTATTGACAGTGAAGAATGTAAAGTCTTGAGGAATAGTACATGTCTCGTTATTATAATGAACAGACCAATGTTCAGTATTGCCCAGTTGACCACCAGTTTTATTTTTCCCCTCATCTTTTGCTAGCATTCTGATGGCAGTATTTCATTTTGAAATGGTTTCTCTAAGGGACCTCTTTTGTATGAATATGAATGTTTGTGTGTTATTTTCATCTCAAAAATCCTCATCAGTCGGTAACAAATGTGGCCCCAGACAATGTTTAATTGTTCCTCAGAGGTGCCATACCTATACATTGTACATTTACTTGTTCTATAAATAATCAAGAGTTTGTGATGTTCTTTTTTTGTTACTTTTGGCATTAGTTTGCATGTAGTAAGTTACCTAGACCAAACAAAACTTCACTCTTGTACTTGTAGAATTGGTCCTCTCACTAGTATACTCAGAATAAAGCATGGTTGTTTCTCATCAATTCCCTTGAATTACAATACAGAATTTTTACATTCCTTTCCACAGCTATCTTAAGAGTTGCACAATATTTTTAAGCTTTAACATATTTGTCTCTGAATTAATCAAAAGCTTTACAAAATGTTTCTCTTTAAGCAAGTTAAGTCTGTTTTGTATAACTTTTCTAAATGTGCAATACAAGATTATCTTTTATATCTTATTTACTATTTAGCAATTTCTTGCATCGAAATGTATTGAGAAGACTTTACTTAATATTTTCTGGGAGGGAAGAAACTCTTGGAAAATTTGTATTTTTATGAACTTCAACAGTACTTTATTGTTTAGTTTTGATAGAAAATGTACATTAAATTAGTTCTGAGCTTGTAAATACATTATTTTTTTATTTTTTTCACGATGGTGCATAATTCTTAAAGAAATATTTTTTGAGCCTGATCTCTTAGATCTGTTACAATGTTATATTCCTTACCTCTCCTCTGTGTACATGTTTATTTATTTCTTCCTTGAGACACAATGATTGTAACATTTCCATGTTTATCGCTATTGATTATTCAACAGAAAACACAGAATTAATTTTTGCAGCAGAAGATGGATGCACAGATTTTATAAACATGTTTTAATGTTTTTATTCTCTTTTATGCATAAACATGTTCTTCCAGTTGTCAAAAATATTCTCTCTCTCTCATTTTTTTATTTTTTCAATAATGAAAATATATCATTTCTTTTTTTCTCCTAGTTTTCAAGAAAATTTAGTTTTCCAAACATGCCATTGGAAGATTCCTTTTGCGGGAGCTAATAAATGTTTTCTATTATTCACAATTTTTCTCTTTACAGTTCATTGATCTGAACTTTTAATAAAATTGCTATATGTTGTGAAAATAGTTAGATAAATGAAATTGTACAAAAATAATAGTTTGTAATAAAACCTTGAGTTGAAAAAAAAATTGTATTTGGTTTTAAATTTCCTAAGGTAAGAGAAATGGATCAATGTGGGAGAAAAAATTCTGCATCAAAATAGTAAAAAGGAAGACATCTAGTTCAAGTTTCTAATCCTTGAATTCGGCATATTGTCACTGCTAATATTAATTGACGACAACCCCCCCCCCCCCCCCCCTTAGTTAAAAAAAAACAACATTTTTGAAAGATTTGAAATACTTTACAGCAAAATGAAAACAAAATGAAAGAAAGGAAAATTTTGTGGTGAAAAGGAATTACATGTATTAAAAATGTTAGCAGTTTGTGCTCCTTTTTAAAACAATCATGAAGAATCTCCGTTGTCAATATTGTCAGTGAAGCTGATTATTGAACCACTAGGCCATGAGCAGATCAGTGGCATACTCGAATTAAATTTGTGAAATGACCCCCTAAGCCATTTTAGTAATTTTCATGAAAAATCTAAATGTTTGGTTACCAAAGTCATTGCTCTTTGTGGGTGTTGTAAATTAAAATTTGATTTAATTTGTTCACCTCTAATAGAGAGAAAATAAGCTTTCTCTTATAATGAGCATGGACCCTTTCATTAAGAAACAAGATGTATTTGTGAAACACTGATGCCAATGTATGGCAGCTTTTGACGAATGTTGCAAGTCAAACTCTGTGGACAAAGTCAATAGATCAGATATATTTCCAAAACAAAGGACTTGTCTCAATGAATATACTGTGAAATATGAAAACCCAAGCACCAGCCATCCAAAAGTTATGGCCAAGGTTGAGGTTTTTTTAATTGTTGGTCAAGATCAAGGTCAAAAGGTAAAAATTGTTTGTATTTGGGGAAGGCCTTATAATAAGAAGAACACATGTGAAATAGTAAAGCCCTAGCACAGAATATTCAAGTTATGGTCAAGGTTCTGACTGGAGATACAGGGGTCCTAGGTTTGATTCCCGGTCCAGCCATACATTTTCTCCTTTCCGGTTACAGATTTGGTGCCGTTGACCACCCCTGGACTTCCAGGTGAAAGTCCTGCCAGGGGCAATAAGAATTTCGGTTGAGTCTTTGAGGGCGAAGACCATTTAAGGAGGGAGGAATGTAATGGTTTGGGCCGTGGATATCGGCCTGGATAGCTCAGTTGGTAGAGCACCTGACTGGAGATACAGGGGTCCTGGGTTCGATTCCCGGTCCAGCCATACATTTTCTCACTTTCTGTTATAGTGTCAAGGGGGGGGGGGGTGAACCTTGTCGGAAGGAATACATCTGTGAAATATGATTGCGCTTGGTCTAACTAGTCAAAATTTTGCTGGCCCATATTAGTTTTTAAAAGTAGGTCAAGGTCAAAAAATATTTAAATCAGTGGAAAGGTGGTGTCATGATGATATGAAATTCTTAGCACCAACTAATCAAGTTTTGGCCTAGGTGCAAGTTTGGTAATTTTTTGCAAAAGTGGGTCAAACGTCAAGGTCAAGAGATCAAATATATTGTTGCCCAAAGAAAGGCCCTTTCACAGCAAATCACATGTGAAATCCAAAGTTCCAACAAACATAATTTATTACCAAAGTTGAAAGTTTTTGCAGACAGGCAGGCAAAAATGACATATGTCAGAATCTACTGTATGATTTTTTTTCCAAATCATTATCATATTTTTTCCAGAATATAGAATATATACAGCAAAAAATATATTATACATGATAAGAATTTGCTATCAGCTAATAATATCGGGATCGGTATTCCGTTAAATATGTAAAATGAAAGTAATCTGTTGTTTTTCATGTTGTCAAGATATTTGTCATGCTTGTTTCTTGAGGCTTAACCTAACCTGAGTAGATGCACCATAATACAAAATACTTTGAAGAAGAATATGGCAACAGCTAAATCCGAAGCTGATTCAAAATTATTGCAAATTATTGGAATTGAGCAATTGAAAGTAAGTGTAGAATCTTTTAAAATAGAAAATAAAATTTCAAAGACGATATCAAATGCATCGAGCAGAATATATCCTTCACAAAATAATTTTGAGAATCTTGATTGTGAAAAATAATCAGTAGGCCTATGTGTCAACAATTCTGTTCAGTGTATAAGCTTTAATCTGCTGGCTTACTTCCTGGTATATTCATAGTTAGAATAATCTAACTGTGTCTCGGTACAGGCCCTCACCACAGTTAGAATACGTCCCATATACTTGTAATGTAGCAAATCGGAGCGGATCCGCTCCGAAACGATTTTGAAGAGTATAAAATGATTTGCACTGGGAATAACTACTAAAATAATTAAAACAAACCTTTTGAGATTGCTTATGCCTTTTATCCCAAAAAATAATCCATATAAATACGAAAATCCAATTAATTTTCTCTAAACGTTTTTTGGGGAGATTCAAATTACCTGCCATGTTTACATTCGGAACTCTCTAGATTGTTCCTAGTAAATGCACTATGCGAGTTATCGCCCGTGTACAACACTTTCTGCTACATTACGAATACACGGAACGAATTCTATCGTTAAACCGGGTCCGTAGGACAATATCATTTTAACGATAGAACATTCTATCTAGTATATTCAGGATCATTATAGCTTTTGTGTCATTTTTATCAAATTTATACTCAAGACTTTGAATTCCAACCAATAATTGACAATGGATTTTCTGTAGGTTTAACTTCTATGTATTTTCTTTATGTTCAAGGATAAAGAATCAACGACTGTGCTAAAATACAAAACAATACATGAAAAAATCCCAAATGAGAAGACAGCAAGGTTCATGTTTCCAGGTAATTCATAAAATGAGACATTTATAGGAAAAGCTATGGGAAGACACATCCTCAATTTTTTAAATCTAAAATTCCCCTAAATTTTTGGGGACCAGTGTGCAACTGGAGGTGGCATTCTTGGGTTGATTTTAGATACTTGCAAACTGAATTAAATGTCAAACTCAGAAGTTTATATCCATGGTACAACACTTTTAGCACTTACCAATATCTTTCTTATGATTCATTTATAAGATATACTACTGATAAAAACGTTTTATCAGACTGTCAAGATTTGACTTCATTTCTTGCTTTCTAAAATCTTGCAAGTCCTGTACATAACAAAATATGGAGTGATATTTTCTCTTCATCTATATTGATGAGTACTATAGAAGTATTGTTTACTTAATGGTGTTGGTTCTGACAATTTCCTGGCACATAAATATCAAAATCATTAAAAAGCCTGGAAAATATAAGACATTTTAGACTATATGGAAGCATATTTGGTAACTGTATATTCAATTTTATTCAAATCTTCCCCTCCCGTCCAAATTAGGGGGGAATTAAGATTGTAACTTGTGACTACTTATATACATGTATATCTGAGCTTTTCAATCCTGAGCTATTTCTGCATTTTTCTAGTCACAATGCATAGCTATGTAGCCCTTGGGTCTCTTGTTTTGTTTTTATTTATTTATTTTTGAAAAGACAGATTATGTTGCAATTATAATCATAATATCTGTTCTGAAAAAGTACCTCAGTATAAATTATGCCTGTATTTTAGATCCAGAATCATTCAAGGTAAAGAGGAAGGCTAGAAAAGGGGAATGGCTAGCAGAGCAAAAAGAAGGAGGGCAGACTTTTAAGCAGTTTCAAAATCACATCATATCCAGACCCTGTGGGCGTAAAAAGACCATCTACCTTATCCCATTAGGTTTTGAAGAGGAACCTGTTCCAAAGAGTATCCTAAAGCCCCTGTCAGAGTATGCTAAAATTTTCTTTGATTTGCCAATCAAAATTGGCAAACAAAAATATATGGTAAAGGATGTACCCAACAGAATCAATGAATTCACTAACAATTTTCAAGTGGATGCATCAGCTGTTCTGAAGAAAATGGAGATCCCTATGGACGCTTTCTGTGTGGCTGGGATAACAATGTGTGACCTTTACCCCCGAGAGTCGTGGAACTTTGTCTTTGGACTGGCAAATTTGTCAGGTCTTTCTGGTGTGTATTCACTAGCTAGATACCTGTCTAACTTTGGCACTTCAAGAAATACTGTTTACAACCCTGATTTGTAAGTACCTATATTTCCCAGTATTATTTCTATAGTTATAACATAAGTATAACATAATATGTGTTAATTGAAAAAAAAAGGATTTAAAAAGATTGTGTAAAGAACATTCAGTTTGATTGTCATAGTGTATGGCCCCTTATTTTTTTCTTTCTAAAGTTTTAGAAATAGAATTGAAAATAAATTTTAAAAAATTTAAGGTACAGAAGTGCATGAAAATTACTCTTATTCTTTTTTTTCATAGAGAAAAAGGGGGAGAGGCAACCATCTTAAGAAGAGCCTGCAAAGTGATGTGTCATGAAATAGGCCACATGTACGGACTAAGACACTGCATCCATTTTGAATGTCTGATGAATGGTTCTAACCACTTAGAGGAGGCAGATAAGAGGCCTACATTTCTCTGTCCACTGTGTCTCAACAAACTGTACAGCATTATGAAGTTTGATGTAGAAGAAAGATACAAGAAAATGCTTGAGTTTTGGAAAACCCATGGACTACCTGAGGAAGTGGAATGGTTAGAACAGCGACTAGCTATTGTTTCCTCAGCCCTGTGAATAAGGCTAAAGGGGAAAGAATTTTATAGTGTTCAAAAACCAGCAACTTAAATTAACATTGTCAAATAATATTATGCAATTTTTTGTGTAATTCTATGTATTTTCAACAATGGTTGTTCTTTGTATTAATGTTAATAATGTTTTTTTTTTTAAGTTGTGAGTTTTTGTCGGAATCTCAAATAATGTCTGGAAATCAAGTACAATTAAGATTTCCTTCTAAGGAATCCAGCCATGGAGAAATGCCATTTAGAGGGAATATTAAATTATAATGATCTTTCTAAATTTATTTCATGTAGGAGAAAATTTGGATAAGAATTTTTAAGTTACCGTATAAGTGGAAATTTTAGTGAGACACATTTAGCGATTTGTCCTTTAAAATTGGTATTTCATTTTTGTGCAGAGCAATTTAAAATTTTAATTTAATAAGGTATTACAAATAAAATGCAATGATTTTTTTTAGCGATTCATGTATTTAATTGTAGCAATCTTAACACTCTAGCTAATAATGCCAAAGTTAAATCCTCGCTAAAAATTCTGCTTATAAGATAAAAGATCATCCGCCTTCTTTAACTTTTTCTCCATAATAGGTACAGTTGAATCTGAACATGCATATATAAGTGTAATGAGTAATGAACGTAACAGACAATTACAATTACTTCTATAAAACGAGCTTAAACATACTGTAAATAAAAAATAAAATATACAACACCCGGTGAATGTATGTTTCTGAAATACTGAGAGTTATCTTTCTTTTGTTACATTTATAACCTTTGGAGTCGAAATAATTAGCATCCAAGCGTATTTATGTTCCACTTGTAAAATGCCTGCTTGTACTTACAAAATACATAATGGACACTAATATGTGTTTATTTGGCAGTTGCAATATTTGAACTTGTTAGATTTCCTATATATAGCATAAAAATTTTACTTCATTGCTAAATATACATGATATATACATGTACATATAAAAAAAATGTAATTATTATATTCTCTTTTTTGGGAAAGGGGTGTGGTCATTTTCGCTAGCCAAGGGTTTCTGATACGATACTCTCCTCAAGTTCATGAGAAGAGTATCGTATCAGAAACCCTTGGCTAGCGAAGATGAAGTGTGGTGGGACAAAGTATTGTCCTTTAAAATTGGTATTTCATTTTTGTGCAGAGCAATTTAAAATTTTAATTTAATAAGGTATTACAAATAAAATGCAATGATTTTTTTTCATGTATTTAATTGTAGCAATCTCAGCACCCTAGCTAATAATGCCAAAGTTAAATCCTCGCTAAAAATTCTGCTTATACGATAAAAGATCATCCGCCTTCTTTAATTTTTTCTCCATAATAGGTACAGTTGAATCTGAACACTTTTACAATTACAATTACTTTATAAAACGAGCTTAAACATCCTGTAAATAAAAAATAAAAAATATACAACACTCGGTGAATGTCTGTTTCTGAAATACTGAGAGTTATCTTTCTTTTGTTACATTTTTAACCTTTGGAGTCGAAATAATTAGCATTCAAGCGTATTTATGTTCCACTTGTAAAATGCCTGCTTGTACTTACAAAATACATAATGGACACTAATATGTGTTTATTTGGCAGTTGCAATATTTGAACTAGTTAGATTTCCTATATAACATAAAAATTTTACTTCATTGCTAAATATATACATGTACATATAAAAAAAAAATTGTAATCATTTATTCTCTTTTTTTGGGATAGGGGTGTGGTCATTTTCGCTAGCCAAGGGTTTCTGATACGATACTCTCCTCAAGTTCATGAGAAGAGTATCGTATCAGAAACTCTTGGCTAGCGAAGATGAAGTGTGGTGGGACAAAGTATTTATTTTACCATCTGAGTTACAGTGACATCCTTACGTTACCCCCCTTCCCCTTTCTCAATAAGGATGTATCCTTATCTTGAAAAAAAAATCTTATATTGTGCATGTGTAAAAAGTTGAAAACAGCCTCTTAACACTGTACAATAGATATTAGTTTTTATCCAAAGTTAAATATGGAAAGAAAATGTACATATGATATGTTATTTATTTTTATTTTATAGAATTAAAATATTGATATTTACATTTGAAGAATAATGGGTGTGTATTGTAATATTTTATAATTTTAACTTATCTATATATTTTTTCTTACAATAAAATGTTTTATATTTTTATATATTTAAATTGACCGGGCCTCCGTTATTAAAAGTAATACACGAACCTAAGTCTGTAGATAAAGTTAGAATGATTAATAACAAAAAAAAAAAACGAAAGAAAAAAAAATTAATACATATATGTAGCTCCAGTTTATGGGCGGATCCAGGAGGGGGTGGTGGTCCGGGGGTTGGACCCCCCTTTATTTTTGCCTGGAGAAAAAAGAGTTTTCTGTATTATTATATAGATAATATTATGTCTTAAATTTTGAATAAGATAAGTAGTCCGATCTCTGCCCTTTCTGCTCAATATGTGAGTTTTCCTTATTTCCTTTCCTCCGAGTTCCATCAGATCCATGACCCCGACCACCACAATTAACATGCAAGGTTTCACTTTGATATCATTAAATTCCAGCGAATGTTAGTTATGCCATTTTTTTTGGCTTGTCAACTCTGTTCGGAGGTTGGCCCTTTTGAAACCCACTGCTACGGAATTGATTCTATGCTTGAATGTTGGAGGCACCGTCCTGGAACCCCCCCCCCCCGGCAATCAGACCAAAAAAAAAGCACATGCTGTAACATAATACAAGATTTATCAATATGGTCGGCATATGTGGTTGGAAAGTCTTAGCCAGTTGTGTATTATGCAAGTCAGTGGCACCAGGTCATTGATTTAGGAGACAGTGTTCATTTCTCCATGACCTTTACTACATTTAATTGTATAAAGTCATGTTATTATTTCTAGAAATCCCCATTTTCTCTAGCCAGGGGTATACGATCCGCTCCAGTCCTTTGTAGCTGAATGGTAAGATAGGCGAGGACAGATCGTAAGCCCTTGATAAGCAAAGATGCAGAATCCCAGGTTTCCCCGTTTTCTTTTTTTCCCCGTTCACTTTCACACGCTGGTTAGTCGCATCATCAGCGAATTCTTTTCTTTTTGGACGTCCGTTTGACAGATAACACTTATAAGCATGTGTAATGTAATTAGTACATTGACCGCTATGTACAGTAGGTTACTCAGCTAGCTGGAAAGGATGAGAAATTTCTGAGCTGCTATATACCAACCGAGTTCCAAACTTCAAGCCACGTCTTGTCAGAAATCATTTTCATGTCCGTTTTAATTGCACAATGTGACTTATTTTTAAACTTAAAAACTGCAGTGCTGCGAAAATAATATTTTGTGATTCATTTTTATAAGCGCCTATATGAAAATGTGCAAAAGCGAAATGTTACATGTCACATTTCTAATTACAAATAAATTTAATTATAAGCCTTACAAAGGAGAGAAAGTGCTGAATAAGAAGTTTTTATTTCTTATTATACATTAATGACATTACTGAAGGCATACATAGTGAAATCAGATTATGGCGGTTTTAATCATTGTTTGCAATAGTGGACACTGATATTAGCTTTACTCCTACATCATTAAATCTTAAACTGTGATCGATTTTTGATAAAAATAAAGAAATGGTCAAACTAAATGGTCATTACACTTTAATGCTGATAAAAAAAAAATGTTTATTTTACAAGAAAGCACCGCCTTTTCCCAGACTGATTCATTTTGGTGAAAACGGAAATATTATTGAACAATCTAATAGTCATACACATCTAGGACTCCTATTCCAATCTGATGCTAGCTGGAATAATCATGTTTCTGCTAACGAAAAAGCTTTAAGAGATAAATATTTTAAGACTTTTAAAGACACACATTAGATAGGAAATTCTTTAATGAAAAATATATATAGTAGATAATTTGATAAGATTACAGGCACATTAATGAATAAGGATAAGTATGTGGATAATTGCTCACAAGAAAATGCAGAATTATTCAGAAAATCCATTTGTAATTTGCAAAAAAAATTACTGGTCTTAGAAATAGGACAAGAGTCTTAATTTTTTTAAGAAGGCTGTGAGTCATTACAGAGAAAACAAACCATATAACTTTTAATATTATATTTATAAAATGTTCCATGGTATTGCTCCTAATTATCTTAACGAATTAATACAGCCCTTCCAACCAGTGCAACGACTCTTATAGTTTGAGATCAGATGGTAATAATCTTACTTTACCATTATGTAGAACTGTATCATACTATGAAAGTTTTATTATTACTATGACTGTTGTAATTATTTATGCGGAAGTGAAAATGTTGACTTTTTATCGAAATTTTCGGTCAAAATTAAACGCACCTTTTAGCAGTTGTAAATAATTCAAAATATGGAAGCTAAAATTGAATATACTTACTGTTAACTACGTAACAAAGCTAGTAATCTTAATGCACACCTAAAAAATCATTATATAGCAACACATCTTTATTTTCCAAAGTGTAATTACCATACAGAAGATAATAAACACTTTTTTATTTTACAGCATATAAATCAAAGAAATAAAGCCTAAAAAAACGTTTTAATGAGCTTGATGTACCTTTTGATCTAAAAATTCTTTTAATTAGTTTGAAAGTTTGTTGTACACATATTATAAAAAATGTACATGAATATATATAACTGTTTTAATCATATTTTCTTTTTTTATGCACTCTGTGTCACTTTATACATGTTATATATTTAATAAAATAATTTCAATCAGTGATCGTCTCTATGGTGTGGTTGCGTGTGTGTGTGAGGGTGTGTGTGTGAGTTGTCCCCGGCAAGTGCATGGAAGAATTTTATTCAGTAAATAAATTGTGCATTATTTCGGCATAGTATGTTACGCTATATAAATCCTGTTATATAGAGATAGTAGGGTATGGGTTATATAGAGACAAACTGACAGGAAGCATAATAAATATCGATATGATATCTAAAGCTGTCAATTATCATTTGGTAATAAAAACGTCCTACCATTTTAATTCGTTTAAAATTTGATCATTTTTGTATATCTTTACATGGAGCTCTTCTTCTAAAGGATCAAGATCAATATAGTCTGAAAATGGCCACAACCCCACAGCCCTCTTAAATAAATTAAGGGGGACTTAGCGCCTTTAGAAGCGCCGCCATCTTGTTCGATTCACTTTTTGAAAGTGAAAATCTGAATAGTTGTCAACAAGAGAGATGTTCGTGTTCATCTTAGAAGATTTAGTAAAGAACTATAACGAAGATTATGTTCTGAAGTCGATTCCAAATATAGAATCACGAATGTAAACCAAAGATATACATGCAGAATGCAAGTTCCACATTTTAAAATATATATATAATGTATGTCAGTTCTGCACATAACCTTCTGGGTCCCCATCAGGACTTGGCTTTGGAACGAAAAAGGGTTGTCTGTATTAAGCAATATTATGACATTTAAAACCCACCCTACCGCTAGTTAAAATTTTTTGGGTCCGAAGTCTCTAAAAAAGTGTTTTATAAATCGGTTTTGAAATTTCTGGATTTTGAGTTTCAAAGGTGTTTATTTTACATGTACTTTACATGTGTTGCCAGTGGCTGTGCTGCGTTTCCTCTGTACTACCTATATAGACAGTTCCGTTCTAGATAATTTTGTTTTGACATGGTTTTGCAATATTATGAATGTATTTCATTAATATTCTACTTCAAAACCGAGCACAACGGGCTTCCGGCCGTATTTAACAACATTGTTATTGATACAGGCTTTTTCACTTGTGGTCTCAGGTCAATATTCGGATAGACACTTCTTATGCAAGTAAGAATTTATACAAGTTGTGTAAGTTCACTGCTTTATTTTGAACTTTAGAACAA